AATTTCAATCGAATAAAAAAAAAAAAATTTTTTGACACCGTTTTTAATTATAATTTTTTCCTTCATCTCTTTCTCTCTCTTTCTCTCTCTCTCTCTCTCTTTCTCACTCTCTCTCTTTATTTAAAATTCACGTACTAAAACATTCTCTCTCTTTCTCTCTCTTTTTCTACTTCATATATTATTAATAATGAAATTTTAATTGTAGGACAATGTCCAATGAGTTTTTCCGTGATTTGCCAAAGGGTAGTAAATTTAAATTTAACTATCGGTCACTAAAAATCGTGTCGAAATTATTACCGGCTACCGGTACAATTACCGGTATTATTACCGGTAAGTTTAATTTTTTTAAAAAAAAAAAAACCTTCTAATTATGTAATAACAATTTTTTTTACGTACGTAGTTAGTTTTCACTCACCTTCCCTCCTCCATTTTTTTTTTTTTTCCTATTTTGAACTCTTTTTTACTATCATCATTATTATTATTTTTATATTTTTTTTCTTTCTCCAGGAAAATAAAATAAAAAAAAATAGTAATAATAATAATAATAAGGAAAAAAAAACAACTTAAAACGTGAACTCATTTATTTTTTTTTTTTTTGCCTGAAGCCACGTTTGAGCTTCTATAAATTTACTTAATGATTTTTTTTTTTTATTTCACGTATATTTTTCTTGCATGATTACGAGAGGTTTAAGTTTACAAAAAAAAAAAAAGTTAATTCGACGTGTAAGAAGAAACACAAAACGGAAGCTCGACACAATTTAATGGGGTAAAAAAAAAAAAAAAAAAAAAAAAAAAAAAAAACAAATCGTTTCGACAAAAAAAAAATTTAGTTTTTTTTATTTACGCGCTATTAAAAATATTTATTAATAATAAACATCTTTCGTACGCCATCTTGATTATTTATTACTATTATTATTATTATTATCACATTGCAATTTATGTATTTATTTAAATGAATTATTATTATTATCATCGATAGATTTTTTTTTAAATAAAAATATAATTCTCAATCAACTTTTTATAATTTTTTTTTTTACGGAATCGTCATTATTATTATTATTATTATTATTATTATTATTATTATTATTATTAAAATGCGTAAATTATTTCTATCCGTTCTTGAAGCGCCTAACCCATGTTTAAAGTGAGAGAGAGAGAAAAACAATGGCGGACAGGAAATACGAAATACAATTGTTTAAAAAAAAAAAAAAAGTCGATCCCATGTTTGACCTCGTCCAGGTGTTTTCTTTATCATCTTTCACGTTATTAAATTCCCGGATAATTTTCAAAAACAAAAAATCTCTAAATCAAAAAGTCGGAAACGGAAACGACACCCACACGCACGCACACACACACCCACTCACTCACTCACGTACGCACCATTACAAAAATTTCGAAGAAAATTTTTCAAAAAAAAAAAAAAAATTCAAATAAATTCGGCCGTATTTATTTATCACGGCGAAAGTTTTGGAGAAAAACAAATAATGATAATGATGATGATAATACGTACGTGAAAGTGTGCGTGTGCGTGTACGAAACTCTATATAAAGGGATTTAAACGTATAAATCAGTCTCGAGTCTATAAATAGTAAATACTCGCATGCATTTCCTTTTGTTAATAACAATTATTTATTATATAGATATATTTAAACAAAATAATTCAATAAATTTTCATCGCTCCGATATAATTTGTCTACAAGACGACGACGACGACACGAGAGAGAGAGAGAGAAAAACTATTTGAATATTCATCATTTATGTCAAATAAAAAAAAATTATGAGAGAAAAAGAGAGAGAGAAAGAGGGAAATCGGAAATGTACCGTTTACAATACCGACTTTATTCTAATAATTAATTAATTTTCTTTTTTTTTATTTGAACTGAAAATTAAAAAAATAATTTTCGCGCCAAAAAAATTTTAAATTTTTCCCGCCAAAACGAAAAAAATTTAAAATTTTTTCCCTGCAAACAAAAAACACAAAAAAATATTTTGCAAATTTTTTTTTTATTTTTAAAACGTGATTAATTAAATTGTTGTTGTTGTTGTTTATGTAAAAACGTGTCAACAGACACGTTTTAAAAAAATTTCTTTTTCTAGGAAATATTAAAAAAAAAAAAAAGAAAAGGATAGGAAAAAGGGTGCGGATTTAATGAGAAAAAACTTGAATTTATAAAAAAAAAAAAATGGCAATGAATAAATAATTAACTTACGTTTTAAAATCTCTTTATTTTTTTTTTGTTTTATTAATTCGTGATTTTATTATTATTATTATTAAATAAAAAATAAAAAGGTCAAAGGTCGTTCGTTGTTAATATTCTTTCTATAAATTTTCGTGTAAATTATAATTGATATTTTTTTAATGAATTTATAAAAATAAAAAAAAAATTTGCGGTTTTAACGACGTGAAAAATTTAAAAAGTAAAAAAAAAAAAAAAACGTGGGTTTTGCGTTTTTCCTCCGCTCACCACCCCCTCTCAGCCCCTCCCCCGAATATAAAATACGATAAAAGATAAATAAAAAAGTTTTCTTTTTTTTGCATGTGATCCTCCCTTTATTTCTTTATATGGTCCAAAAGTTCAACAAGCTTTTTTTTTTTACCTTGAAAATGGCCAAAAGCGCAAAATTTGTTTCATTTTTTTTTTTTTTGCAATTCGTATTTTATCTCGGCATTTCCGGTTGTAATTTTTTCTGCTTTTTTGCGGCTGTTAAATGGAATAAGAAAAAAAAAAAGAAGAAAACTTGATTTTTTTTTTCATTCTTGGAAAAAATTTAATTTACAATTTCTCAGTATTTTAATCGTACGATTTTTTAACTGCGTCTTTTCTTTTTTGAATTCGTATAATAAATTTAAATTTTGGCGGGAAATTTTAATTTTTTCTTAAACAAAACAAATTTTAATAATTAATTAAATAATTAAACGGAACGAATTTTCAAGGTCACGTAGAAAAACAAAAAACTTTTAAATTGTTTTACGTTAAAAACGAATTTTAAAAAAATTATTTATTATTATTATTATTATTATTATTATTTAACGGTTTCGTTAAGAAACTACCATCTTTGTTTTCTTTTACCCTCTTATTCTTCTTCTGCTTCTTCAAAAAAAAAAAAACGTTATTAATGTCTTCTTAATTTGTTTTATTGGTTTAAGTTTTCGTTGGTGGTATATGTGGAAATTTTTTTTTTTTTTGGGTACCTGAAAAACTAAAAAAATTACTTTTTATTTTTTGTATCCTCCCCCTCAAAAGAATAAAAAAAAAAAGGCACGAAACATATCATTAAAATAATAAAAAAGGGAAATTATGGATGGCAAAACGCAACAACAAACAACAAACAACTATGTAATTATTGTAAATGGATATTGTAATAGAAAAAAAAACGGAAAAGTAAAAATTTGACTAAGTTAAATTGTTGTTGTTGTTTGTCGAAAGTTGTTATCGTAAAACAATGATTTTAATATTTAAATATAAATTTAAGAAATTAAATAAAAAAATGGCGAATACAAAATCGGGGGAGGACGGGAAAAGAAGAGGGATAAAATCGAAAGGAAATAATCGATAAATCTATGATGATGAAAAAAAAAAGGAAAACGGTATCGAGTGAGTGCGTGCATGTGTGCGTGTGAGCGTGCGTGTGAGCGTGCGTGTGTGTACGCTCCAGGGATGTAAGAATTCATGGATGAGAGAGAGAGAGAGAGACCAATGAACTCAATAATCAATAGAATTACTAAACAACCTGAAATCTACAACAACAACAACAACAACTTCTACTACTACCACTACTACTGTAGTTACGTTTTAAACAACGGCTTCTGATTATTATTATTATTACGATGATGATGATGATGTGTGTTTGGAGTTTATGGAACCACAAATTGCCCTTGGGAGAGGGGAGAGTGAAGGGAAAGAAGAGAAAGGGGGAAATTTCAAACCTCGAATTGGCACACGCGCTGGAAATAGGCATACCGTAATTATTATTATTATTATTATTTATTATGAGTATCTTCTCGTAACGACTTTTTCTTTCTTTCTCTCAATAAAAAGAGAAAGAGAGAATTTACGTGAGTTAAAATAAAAAAATGGCGGGATTTTGCCTACTCCCTTCCCCCCCCCCAAAAAAAAAGAAATCGTGACGTTTTATTTAAACGACGAATAGTTTCACACTCCCCCGCACCCGCTTTTACAGCGCGCAAAACACGATGAGCGCCCTCTTTTTTTTTTTTGTTTTGTCGTCTGCTAAATGAAAATTTTTTTTTTTAAGCCTTTATAATTTTCTTCTCGTTCATCCCTTTCCTTTTCCCTTTTCTTTTCATTGTGTCCATTTCATTTCGACCCTTATCGCTGATATGATTTATGCCGTTTTAAATTAACTATCCTTTTTTCTTCTTCCACTTTATTTTTTCCACTCTCCTTTTTCTTTCGAAACAATTTTTGAATTTCTTTTCTCTTTCTCCCCCCTTTCTCCCTCCTCTCTCTCTCTTTCACGCCGTCACAAATTTATTTAAGAAATAATTTATTATTAGCGTATCGTAAATTTATTTTATTCACCGGGGAAAAGGGAGGGGAAGGGGGTGGTGGTGAAATAAATTAAAATTAAAATAAATAAATTTTTCGCTTTCGTTTTTTTAGAAGAAAACATTGAATTTTCTAGCAGAAAAAAAAAATATTTCCGCCATATTGATTTTTTTTTTTCTATCAACGATCATTAAAAATAATTTTTTTTTGTTTTCGCACCGCACACATTTCCGCCCACTAATCAACTTCCGCCCACTAGTCAGTTAGTCAGTCAGCAAAAGGCCGCCTCGAGGAACAATCATCATCCCCTTCGAAAAAAAATCTTTCATCATCCCTTATTTAAATACCTTTTTGACTTTTTTTTTTGTTGATTGTGTTGAAATTGTTCGTCCGGTAATAATCAGCGAATCTAAAATATTCCTCCGGGACAATAATAATAATAATAATAATAAAACGACAATAGATGAAAATTTATAGGAAAGGATAGTAATGGCACTTAAGTAAGGCGGAAGAGGGTGGTTTTTTTTTTTTAAAAAATCGAGTAGGAGGAGAAGGAGAGAGGGAGAGTGGGATGGATGGGGGAGTTTCGAAGGGGTTGAAATGAATTGGAAACAATTTATAAATCGTTGATGCGTAAGATTTCTTTATTTGAATTCACCATGGATTGGCTTTGGTCATTCATTCATTCCAGCATAATAAAGTTTTTTTATTTTTTTTTATTTTTCAACTGGAATTTTCAAATCTTCCCTTTCGATTTACCCCCTCTTCTCCTCCCCCACCCTTCTCCCCTCACGCACACACACGCAACCTCGTTTAGAAAGTTATGAGGGATGAAACTTATTTGTAATCTTTTTTTTTTTATTAAATATTATTTTTATCTTTTTTACGGAAAATTTAAAAAAATTCGTTACGGATACAATTTTTTTTTATAAGCAGAAGACAAAAAAAAAAAAAGAAAAAAATTGTTTTGAGAGAGAGAGAGAGCGAAAGGGGAAAGAAAAAGAATAGAATCTCGTGTTTTTATTATTATTACTATTATTTTTAGGGATAGTTGTTGGAAAAATGAAAAGATTGTCCGACGACGACGGCAAACAAGTGCGTGCGTGTGTATGCGTGTGCGTGTCCGTGTCCAGTTGAACGATTATGTACGAACCATTTGACAAAGAGTGGCTTCTTCTTTTTTCCTCTTTTTTTTTCCTTTTCCCATTTTTATAAATTTTAGGGGTTGGCGTTAATAAAAAAATTTCCCAAGTTTTAAATCACTATCGGGTTATTTTTTTACGTTGAAGGGTTGTTGTTGTTGTTGTTGTTATAGAATTAAGAAAATGACTCGAGGAATACAAAAAAAAAAAAAATCTAATGCCATTTTCTGTCACTAAATCACGAGTTTATGGTTTTTCATTTGCATCCTAATTTTATTCAACGGGGATAAAAAAAAAGTTTTCCCCTTTTCGGAGGTGGGGGGTGGAAGTGGGGGTGGTTTTCCACATCCGCCATATTGAAAACAAGATGAAATTACTTATCGAATTGAATTTTTTTTTGTTTTTTATTCCAATTTTTTTCTTTATTTCTTTTCTTCTGCTGCTACTGCTGTATTATTTCTTTTTCTTTTTTTTTCGTTTTCAGGTACGTCATTAAAAACGTTTGCCGTACCTTTTTTATTTTCCAACCTTTCAAATTTTATTTTCCAAAAGCAATTTTTCCAAACCTTTTAACGGATGACAAAAAAAAAACTGAAAAATTTTATTCAATTTTTTTTTTTTTTAGAAATTTCTGTGAGATTTTCCTTTTTATTTTGTATTTCCCTCTCCCCCGTCTTCCCCCCACTTAAAATTGTTCAAACGATTTCTTCTGTAAATTTTATTTATGACTTTATTTCGACAGGAAAAAAAAAGGAAGAAAAAGACCCAAAAACTAAATCAAAGATTTACGTCTGGACACAAACAAAAAAAAAGGATAAAATTATTATTATCATTATCATAAAAGGTTTTTTTTGGAAAAACGTTTCAAAATAATGTTTATCTTATGTAAAACAAATAAACAAACAACGGGAAAAAAAAATGACAAACAAATTTTTCTCAAAAACTCCCCACTCTCCCATTTTTCTTTCTTTTTTTCTTTCATAAATAAATATATTTATATCGCTGGAGAAATTTTTTTTTTTTTTCATAATCAAAATGTTTTTTAAGTTCTTCGTCACTTGTCTCGTGCCACGACGTTAAATAAAAAAAAAATCCGTTAATGACTTGCAATTATGTTTTTATATATATAATCGTGACGTAAAATCTCGTTAAGTAATTATTATTATTATTATTATTATTATTAATATTTTTTCCAGGTGTGTATAAAAAACATTTTTCGATATGGAACCTGCTACGTTTTTTTTCTCCAGTAAAAATTTTTTTTTATTTTTGGAATGGAATCACGTTTTTTTTTTCCAAAACCTATATAAACCATTAAAAAGTATTTATTTTATTTTTTATAGTCTATAAATTTTATTTAAATATTTTCAAAAATTAAAATTTATGAATGACAATAAAAATTACAATTCCAGGACTATTCCAGAACGATTCCAGATCGATTCTAACAATAAAAAAAAAAATGTCAATATTTATAAATTATAATTAAAGTTGACGTGAAAAGTTTAACTAGAGAGAGAGAGAGAAATAGAGAGAGTTACGATTTTAACTTTTTTTTTTTATGGATAATTTCCAAAAATTTTTCAAATTCTCCCTTATATGGTTTTTCTAAAACCACGACGTTTGATTTTTCGGTTAATAATTAAAAAAAATGGCGGAATTATATATATATAAAAAATTTAAATTAAATTCTTTTTTTGACGACTAAAGAATTAAAAAAAAAAGTGAATGAGTGGGGAGAGACAATGGAGGAAGGAGGGTCGGAAAAGGCCGAACGAAGATTTTTAATTTAAAACAATAATAATAATAATAATAATAATAATAATAATAATAATAATAATAATAATAATAATAATAATAATATTTTCTCCAAAATTTTTCAAAAGATCAAAGTTAAAACTCGTATTTTTTAGCTTCCGCAGTGATTCCAGTTTTTAAAAAAAAAAAAAATTTTCTACCGGAAAAATTAAACAAAAAAAAAATTTCAAAAAAGGTTTTTTTAATTTTTTGTTGTTGGGGCTTCCCCCGCCCCCCTCCAAAAAAAAAAAGAAAAAAAACCAACAACAGCAAATTGGTTTTTTTTTTTTTTTTAGTTTTCCAGTTGGAATATTTTGTTACGTAAAAAAACAAAAAAAAAATTTTTTTATTTGGCTTCGGCAGACATGCCTGGAAAAAAAAATTAAAGAAACAATGAAAACGCAAAATTATTATTATTATTATTATTATTATTATTATTATTATTATTATTATTATCATGGAAGGGAATGAAAAACGACTTTATGGAAAAAAAAAAAAAAGAATGAAAGCAATTATACGGACATTAGCAAAGGCTTTTCATTCCTAAAACTGGAGAAAAAAAAACTGGAGGAATAAAAAAAAATTGAGTGGAAATGAAGGGAGGGAAGGAGGAAGTGGGGGTGGGGTGGGGTGGGAGGTACGGAATGAAAACAGGAAAATTATTATTATTATTTTTTTGTAAAATAAAAAGTAAAACTGGAACTCCTTTAAAAAAAAAGGTTTATTATTATTTTTTTGAAAAATTGTTTGAAAAGGCTGGAAATCGTACAAAAATTCCAGATTCCAGAGGGTTAGTTAAGATACTTTTGTTTTTTTTTTTTATCCAGATGAATAAAAGGAAAAATGAGGATTATATGAATATGAATACGGTTATGAAAAAAAAGAAAACATTTTCGAATTTTTTGCAATTAAGCTTTTTTTTTACTGGAATCCTGAATAAAAATAAAAATAAAAATTTTTTTTGTCTATTTTTTGATGGTTTTGCTGTAATTCATGATAGAATTAAATAATTCGCCCGTAAAATTGATAAAATTTATTTCCGGGTTGACCTTTTTTTGTTAGACTTTTGACTACTTTTTTTTTTTTTCATTTACTGGAGCCTCCGGTTACCGTCAGCAAAATCCTCTCGTTAAAAAACATTGAAAAATTTTAAATAATCAAAACTTTTTGTTAAGTGGAGATGGGGAGGCGGAGGAGTCCTTTTTTTATAACAACATCCGGATTTTCCAGCAATTCTTTTAACTCCCTCTTTCGACACGTTTCCAAAAACGTTCCAAAAAAAAATTAAATTTTTTCCTGGAGAAATAAAAACATAAAATAATTAAAATTTTTTTTTCTTTTTCCAGTTTTAAGAATTAAAAAAAAAAAAAAAAAAAACAATTCCAGTAAATAAAAATTTTAAATTAAAATAAACAAACAAACAAAAATAAATGAACTAACAAACGATGGTTGTTTCCGTTTGTTTCTGGTTGTTTTTGTTTAAAAAAGAAAATTTTTTTAAAATGATTATTAATTGTTTTTTATTTGTTTTAATTCCGTTAATTGTCTGGATAATTATAGGGAAACCGTCAACAAAATGGCGGTGGTGGCGTCGTCGGGAGGAGAAAGATGATGACATTGAAGAATCGATGTAATTTTCATTGGAAAAAGTTGAGGATTTCCTGGAGAAAAAAAACCTTTAGGTAAAATTAAAAAAAAAAAAATTTTCTTTTGTGTTTATATTTTTTTTTCTTCTTCTTCTTTTTCTTATCATTTGGTTGTTAACTTGAGAGATAAAGATTATTTCCTGTCATTTTGAAAAGAGCGCAAAAACGTTTTTTTTTTTTTTTTTACTGGAGGATTTCATAACTGGAGAAGACATAATTCATCAAACTGATTAATGATTCTTTTACATTACTTAATTTTTTTGTCAAAATTTTTTTTTTTTTTTTGTTTTTTGACTCTTCCCTTCCATTTTTTCTTTTGTTCACGTTTGTTTTCTTTTTCTTTTTTTTTCTAAGTGAAAGAAAGAGTGAGTGAAAAAGAGAGAGAGAGTAAGAGAGACAGAGAAAAAGAGAGAAAGAGAGAGAAAAAGAATAAAAATAAATAACAATGACTAAGTTCGAGCTGTCAATGACTTTTAATTTTTTTCTTTTTTTTTTTTTCTAATTATTTTTGCCAGAATATAAATAATAATAATAATAATAAATTTAATTGAGCGTAGGTTTTTATAGCGAGATGAAGATTATAAAATGATAATTATAGCATCGCTATAAATTTTTAAAGATATAAAAAATTAAACGGTGATGAAAAACCGGGATAAACTCGACTAAAAATATTTATCCGCACGTAAAGCATTTTCTTTTTTTTTTTATTATTTGGTGTCATTCCAGAATTCCAGAAACTGGAAAAAAGTACTCCGGAAAAAAGAAAAAGGGGAACAAAATAACAAATCATTTATAAAAATCGAAATTTAAAAGAAAAAAAAATTTTCTCGTTCGGTTAGGTTAATAACATTGATTAAGTATAATTTCGTGTCATGTTTTTTTTGTTTTTGTAAGGTTGGTAAAAGTGGTCATAGAGTAAGAAATATAACATAGTAATACCTGTTGATCATTTGGTAATTATTTGTCATTATTCCGATCGTGTTTTTTTTTTTTTTTAAAGCTCATTGTCGTTTGGTCAATAAAAAAATAAAAAAAAGGGGAATGATGATGATGATGATGATAATAATAATAATAAATAAAATAAACGAAGCGTTTCGTTCGATTTCGATTCGTCGCGGACGTGACCCAAAGGGTGACGTTTTTTACGGCGTATAGTGTCAACATAAAAAAAAAAAAATATTCACTCTCTTCTTCTGCCACTTTATATTTAACACACCGTAACTTATTTTCGAAAAAAAAAAGAAAAGAAAAAAAAAATCGAACCGATGCAACAATCATCGCAATTAGAGAGAGAGAGAGTAAAAAAATTTTAATTTCGGCCTTGAATTTTCTTCTTTTTTCATTTTTTTCTTTAAGCATTTCCGGTTTTTTTCTTTTCCTTTTTCCGTATTTTCATTTTTTTTGTATTTAATAAAAAAAAAAAAAGGAAAAATTTTATTTTTTATTTTTTTCCTTGAGATTTAAAAAAAGAAAGCGAAGGAATTAAAAAAAAAGGAAAAAAGGAAAAAGAGAGAGAGAGAAAAACTTACAAGATTTGTATTTCCGGTTTGATGAACTTGAAAATTTTTCGTAGCGACGATAAGAGTTTTATATATAATATATAATCGGTAAAACAAACAAAAAATTTTATTTTATCATATACGTAAAATCTTTAAAAATTTTTTTTTGTTAAAAAAAAGAGAGAGAGAGAAGGGTGAATGTTTTAATACAAACAAAAACAAAATGGCGTCTTTTATTATTTTGTTTGTTTGTTTCTTACTTGCTAAAAATCAACAAACACTTTGAGAACGATGATGATGATTATATCGTCGATAATCCTGGCGATTATAATTCGAATTCGAAATCCGTTTTAAATTCCTGGATAAAAAGGAAGTGGATGGAAAAAATATTCCAGACTGGAACGCACGCACGCACAGAGACGTGCAATCTTGATTTTTTACGTAATCGTCCATTATTTTGCATTAACCTTGAATGCGCTCATTGTTAATGTTAACTCGAATGGAAAACGAGAGAGACTTTTCCTTCTCCAGTTAAAGTTTTTTTTTTTTATTTGTGTCTAATGAAGCAAACGCGCGAATGAGAGATAAGAGGGGGGGAGTAGAAAAAGGGAGAGAAGGAAGGGAGTAAAAACAGGAAGAGAAAGGGAATTGAGTTGTTGAATAAAGCTATCATTTAAAAAAAAAAAAAAACTTATTCTCACTGGAGAAGATGAATAACAACCACGTTTACGTGCGGCGATCATTTAACAAAAGCGAAATGTAAATTTTATTGTTACTGGAAATTAATTTTACAACAACGACAACGACGACGACGACGATGACGCGTTCATGAATTTCTTTTTTTTTTTATTTCTCCAAAATTTCTGGGTAAATTTTAATTCTTACGTAAAACATTTTCTGTTTATTTTTTTTTTTCAACATCAAAATTTTATTTATTTATTTAAAACTTTCTGGAATTTTTGTTATTTTTCTGGAGAAAAAAATAATAATTAGAAAAAAAAACAAATTTTAAATTTAAATATTCATAACGCGCAACGCGTTTGTTTTGTTTTGTTTTTTTTTCACATTACAAATACAACGTGTAACTAGACAAATAAAACAACACGAAAATCATATATAACACGATTATATTTTAAACAATCGAAAATAATGTCATTGGATTAAAAAAAAAAATTTTTTTTTTGTGATTTATTATATTTGATTGTTTATTATTTTTTTTTATTTAGTGCCACGTTAAAAAAAAAAAAAAACGGTAAAAAATTAATACCGGAAGTCAATAAATTGCCACCATCGTCAAATCATATGATTTATGTAAAATCCTTACTCGTGTTGACGTAACAAACAAAAATCTTTTTCGATAACAGAAAAAAATTTTTTTTTTTTTCGTTTTCGTTTTGTTGCTTACCCCCTTCCTCTCCCCGTTCCCCCTCCCATTCTCCTACCCACCGCTTCGAAACTCTCCAGGATCGATTTTTCATTCGTCATATTAACTTTACCACCCAATTTTTTTTTTTTTAAATCTCATTTAATCGATCTTAACAGAAAAAAAAAGAGAGAGAAAAGATTCATTACGATTTTAGATATAGACACACACACACACATTTCAACAGGTGGAAGTAAAAAGCATTTTCTAAAAAGAAAAAGAGAGAGAGGGGGGGTGTGTAAGTGCGTGCGTGCGAGAAAGAAGGGAGTTGGGAAGAAAGGGAGAGGGAGAGAGAACTGAAAACAACCCCGTGATGGTGGTGGTGGTGGTGAAATTGAACAAGTGTCGACCCTTCACCTAATTCTTCTTCTTTTTCTTTTTCTTCTTCTTCTACCCCCCTTCCCCCATCTTCACAACATAATTCTTTATGCTACCTTTAACCATATTTATGTGTGTGTGCGTTCGTTTTCTCCTTCCATTTTAAAATACCCTTGGGGCTATGATATAAACGTGAGCCTAGACTTTTGGGTCTCATCACTTTTTTTTTTTTTCTTCCCCCTCTTTGGATAATAAATGACCTTGAATTATTCCCTATTTAATAATAATAATAATAAAATTATAAGGAATATAAAAAAAAAAAAAATCCGACGACGAATTGCAATTGTAAAGTCGAGAAAAAACAAAAAAAAAAATTGATAAAAACGACATGGACGACGACGACGTGGACGTGGACGACGACGACGATGACGACGACGACCTGTCGAACAAAATAAAAAAAAATAAAATTATTTTGTGACTTTTAAACTTCTTTTAGGTACGAAATTACCTGACCCGGGTTCGAAGTCACGTTTGTACGAATCCACCACAACTTCTTTCCTTTCTATCTATCTATCTATCTCTTTTCTTTTTTTTTCCATGCCACTTTATTATTACAAACCGTGAATAAAACCTCAGGTTTTCTACGTAGTAGTTTATCGTACCTGTCGATAATTATCGAAAAGATACAATAATAACCTTTTTTTTCTTTCTTTCTGACGTAATTTATATATATGTAACACATCACACAACGTTTTGTTTTTTTTTTTCCTTTATTGTCACCCTCTAAATTTTTTTTTTACCATCCATCCACCCACACGAATCGATTCCTCTTACGCCACAGTGGCAAAATCGGAAAAAACCGTTTTTTTTTTTTTTCGTTTCTAATCTTCAAAAAAAAACTCAAACTCACCAACAGCATCCTAAATCGCATCAATCATTTTTTATCTTTTTCCCTCCTTTTTTTTTCACGTAAACTAAGTAAAGGAGTTTTTTTAATCCCCTAAACGTCTGCTTTCATAAAAGTAAAACTAAACAAAACCAGGATTTCTTTCTTTTTTTTTTCTTTCTATATATATATGGTACAAGTGTTTTTTATTATCGCCTTTTTTTTCTTCTATCTTATTCTATCTTTTTCCTTGTCGACACCCTCATGTGCACCCCCGCAGGGTGTCCACAATACAAAATCACGGGTATTGAAATCATTGTCATTTGTTTTCCGTTTAATTCTTTTTCTTTTTTTTTTTTCTTGTCAAATTTTTTTTTTTTTTATTTGAGGTTGTCGTCACCATTATTTTATTTTTTACCAAAAAAATCCCCCCCCCCAAAACAAATTAATTATTTTATTTTAATTTTTCCCATCATTTGATGATGAGGAAAATCGTTAAAAAATAATTTTTGTTTTATATAGTTTTACAAAAAAAATAAATGACGTAGAAAATGATAAGAGAAGAATTTTATAAATTTTAATTAAATATATGTGTGCGTGCGTTATTTAAACTTATTTGATAATTAAATCACCCCCCACTCCCCCCCTTAAAAAAATTACTCTTCGGAACTTTTTTTAAAAAATAAATATCAACAACGGAAACGGTCATGATAAAATTTTTTTTTTTTCACCGGAAATAAATGATAAAATTAAAAAAAAAATATTATAATCGATTGTTAAATTTAAAAAAAAAGTTTTAACGTGGTAGTAGTAACAAGCCTCGACGACGACGACGACGACGACGTGGTTTTAAATAAAACTCGAAGGGATTCCCCTCGAATAAATTTTATCCTCGATTAGACTCGTTTAATTCGACAAATTCTAAAGAAATAAGAAAGAAAGAAAAAGAGAGGAGGAGAGGGAAGGGGAGGGGAGGGAAAGAAGAGAGGGAGAGGGAGGAGATACTATAGAGAATAAAAAACTGATATCTTAAACGACGACACCTGTGACACCCGAACCAAAGAAGATGAAGATGAAGAAGAAGGAAGG